GCCAGGCGCGAGGAGCCGGCGCGACTGCGAAGGCCGCTGCAAGGTGGGCGCCCCCACGGGGTAGGTGCGGGCCGGAACCCCAGGACCCTCCCGCCCAGGCCAGGCAAGCTGACCGCAGCATCGGCCGTGTCCAGCTTCCCCTGACGAGCTCCCGAGGCCCGAATGCAGCGGGCGCTTGGACTGCTGCCGCTCGGTGTGCAAAGTGGGGACCCGGCACCTCCGGGCCAGAGGGGAGGCAGGCCATGGAGCACACAGTAGGGGTGCACCAACGCTCCCCCGGCCCCCCGCGGGCGGGTGGTGGCCTGGGCCAGGCTTTGAGGACCGGGACCACTCACCAGCAGGTAGATGGTGCTGGCGATGGCCAGGCAGGCCGTGCCCAGGATGGTGGCCAGCAAGAAGCCCGCAGGGATCGCCAGGCTGCGGGGTGCCGGAGGGAAACGGAGGGCAGAGTGGGGGGGCCTGACCCAACCCAGCCCTGCGGGAGGTCTGCTGAGTGGGGTCCCGGAGCTGACCCCTGACCCCAGCCAGGGGAGCCTTGCGGAGCCCGCCCCCCGCCCCGCCCCCCCGCCCCCCAGCTTAGACTGAGCCCCGGCGGGGAGCCCCGGTGAGGAGTCCTGGCAAAGAGGACAGGCGTGGGCGCTTCCCGCAGAGCTGGGGCGGGGCCGGGGCGGGGCAGCCCCCGGGCAGCTGTCTGGCTGCTGAGCCCCCCCTCTGTGCCCCCCTCTGTTCGCAAGAACACGCGGGGCGGGGGGCGGGGCGCGGGTCTCACTCACGCAAGATGCAGGAAGGCCCGGATGTAGTAATTCCTGGACAGGGGGCCCAGCATCTTCACCACTTGGGTCATGTACTTCTGTCCGCTGGCAGAGGGAGGGGCGGAGCAGACCGGAACCCCTTAGGGCCTGGGCATCCGGCCAGCCCCGGGGCGCCCCGGCTCCGCCCTCCTGGGGCCGCAGCTGCTGGACAGGCTCCGTCCTCACCCCCAGGACTCACCAGCGCTCCAGGGTGGAGCCCCTCTGCCGCCTGCCGCGGGGGTACTCCAGGGCACACACGAACACGCCAGCGGCGCTGGGCGGTTAAGGAGCAGGCGCCGACTCAGGCCCCGGGGCTCGCAGGCGGCTGGGGGCCCTCTGGGCGCTGCCAGCGGGGGCCACGCGGCCTCCCGCACTGGCCTGGGCTCCCCCGCTGACCTGCCTGCTCCTGGACAACCCCGGCAGCCATGGCGGGGTCAGGGATGCTGCCCCCCAGGGGGAGCTGCTGACCCCACCTGCCTCAGGGGGTGCCCTGCCCCCCACCCCCACGCACCCCCCCACCCGCCTGGGACCCCCAGAAGGATACATCGAGTAGGCCCCGAAGTACCACTGTGTGAACTGCCCGGCGGTGGCCACGATGCCTCCCGCGATGAGGACTGTGGACGGAGGAGCGGTGAGAGGCCCCCGTGGGAGGCCCGTCCCTGGCCGCGGCCAGCCCGCCCTCCGGTCAGCACACAGCCCCAGCCCCTCGCTCTCGAGCCCACGCAGCCACGGTGCCACCCACCTGCCAGTCCCCCCGTCCTTTATAACTCGGGCATTTCCCTGTGGCGGTAAAACACACATAACCCAACACTGGCCGCTTGGGCCACTTCCCGGGAGCTGGGCGGGGCCCTGCGCCGGGCCCTGGAGGCCGCCTCACCTCTGACCCACCGCCCGCTGCGGCCTGATGCCGCGGCACCTGCGGGGGTGCTGAGGGTACCCACTGTCCCCGGTGACCAGGTTTTCTCGGACGGGTGGTGACTTTAAGTTTGCAGTGGCCATCTTGCCTCTGGGCCAGACTTCCTCCTCTCCTCCACCCCGGGATTTCCTCACCCCCTTCCCCGGCTCCCTCATCTGTCCGGGCTGGGCACTTGCACTGTGCTGTGTCCACGCGCCCGGAGCCCGCGCCTCCCCAAGCGCTCCCGGGGACGCCCAGCACCCTCAGGGACGGCGTGCCGGGGCCGCGGAGGCGCCGTCCACCATGGTCCTGGTCCTGGTCCTTCCTGCCCGGTCTGCACGGGCACACGCACGCCCGGCGGGCAAGCCCCTCCAGGGCCCCGTGCTCTGGGGCCCTGGGCCTGCGCCCCCGGGCAGGCGGGCCAGTCGCGGGGTGCCCCCCCAGCTCCCGCAGAAGGCCGTCTGTGCCCAGAACGCCCGCTGCTGCCCGGCCCTCAGCCCCGGCCTCCGCCTTGGGCTCAGCTACACATTAACCCGCGGGCTGGCCGGTCAGCGTTTCTGTGCCCTGGGCAAGGGCCGCGCATCCCCTCGTGCCCGTGGCCACGCGGCCCACCTGCCTCAGGCCCGCGGCCTACCCGGTCACTCTGCCGTCTGCCATCAGCAGCGGGGCCGCCGTCCAGGGTCGGGGGCACCGCGGTCACCCGGGGGCAGAGGACAGTCCCAGCAGCGCGCCGGGGCTGGCCACCGCGAGGCGGGGAGCCCAGCTGGGCCTGGGGC